TACTAAAAATACAAAAAACATTAGCTGGGCATGGCGGCGCGTGCCTGTAATCCCAGCGACTCAGGAGGCTGAGGCAGGAGAATTGCCTGAACCCAGGAGGCGGAGGTTGCGGTGAGCCGAGATCGCGCCATTGCACTCCAGCCTGGGTAACGAGAGCGAAACTCCGTCTCAAAAAAAAACCCAAAAAACTCCACTAAGGCAGGGGGTTGTTTCAGTCTCCTCAGACAAGCTTGTTGAGCCATGTCCTCCCTTCTCTGACCCTATCACTGATCATCAGCCTCTGAATGGTCTGCTCCCCCTCCTGTTCTTCCTCAGAGTGTAAAACATTCAAGCCTTTTCCCAAGGAGTAGGGTGTGACTGTAGGTTTTCTAACCACGCTGTCCCTCCTGCTCCTTCACTTGCCTGTACTTTTCAATATACCAGTGTGGAGCTGTGTGCCCCTGTGAACTCCAACTCCCCTTTACAATCTACTGATGTAGAACTATGCGCCCCCATGAACTCTAACTTCTTTTCAATCTACCGGCATGGCACTATGCGCCCCCCATGAACTCTTAACTCTTCTTTTCAAATACTGGTGTGGAACTATGTGCACCCATGAACTCTAACTCTTTTTTCAATCTACTGGTGTGGAATTATGCGCACCTGTGAACCCTATTAAATCTACCGCCGTGGAACTGCGTGCCCCCATGAACTCTGTCTTCCTTTCAATCTACCAGCATGGAACTGTGCACCCCCATGAACCCTAAGCCTTCTTTTCAATCTACTGGCGTGGCAGTATGCACCCCTGTGAACTCTAAATCATCTTTTCAATCTACTGGTGTGGCAGCATGTGCCCCTGTGAACTGTAACTCTTCTTTTCAGTTTACCGGTGTGGAAATATGTGCCCGTGGACACTTAACTCTTCAGTCTACCAGTGTGGACCTATGCACCCCCATGAACTGTAAATCTTTTTAATCTACCAGAGTGGCACTATGCACCCCTGTGGAATCTAACTCTTCTTTTCAATCTACTGGCATGGAACTATGCGCCCCCATGAACTCTCTTTTCAGTCTACTGGTGTGGAATTATGCACCCCAGTGTACCCTAACTCTTCAATGTACCGGCATGCAACCCTGCAACCTCATAAACTCTAAGTCTTCTTTACAATCTACTGGTGTGGAACTATGCGCCCCCATGACCTGTAAATCTTATTTTCAATATACCGGTGTGGTACGATGCACCCCCTGAAATCTTCAGTCTGCTTTTCAATCTACCGCGATGGAACTGTGCGCCACCGTGAGTTCTTACACTTCTTTTCAATAACCTGGTGTGGATCTATGTGCCCCGTGAACTCTAAATCTTCTTTTCAATCTACCAGCATGGCACTATATGCCACCATAAACTCTAACTGTTCTTTTCAGTCTACTGGGTGGCACTATGTGGTCCATGAACTCTAACTCTTCAGTTGAATGGCGTGGAAATATAAGCCCCTGTGAACTCTAAATCTTGTATTCAATCTACCGGCATAACACTAGCCGCCCCGGTGAACTCTAAGTTTTGTTTTCAATCTATCGGCGTGAAACTATGCGTCCCTGTGAACTCTAACTCTTCTTTTGAATCTGCCGGCGTGGAACTGTGCGCCCCCGCGAACTCTAACTCTTCAGTCGAATGGCATGGAAATATGAGCCCCAGTGAACTCTAAATCTTGTATTCAATCTACTGGTGTAACACTAAGCACCCCATGAACTTTAAATCTTGTTTTCAATCTATTACCGTGGAACTATGCGCCCCCGTGAACTCTAACTCTTCTTTTCAATCTACCGGCGTGGAACTATGTGCCATGTGAACTCTAACTCTTCAATCTACCGGCGTGGAACTATGCTGCCCCGTGAGTTCCAACTCTGCTTTTCAGTCTACCTCATTGGAAGTATGCGCCCTCATAAACTGTAACTCTCCTTTTCAATCTACCAGCGTGGAACTATGTGACCCTGTGAACTCTTAATTCTTCTTTTCAGTCTGCCAGTGTGGAACTACGTGCCCCGTGAACTCTAACTCTTCAGTCTACCGGCGTGGAACTCTACACCCCTGTGAACTGTAAATCTTTTCAATCTACCAGCGTGTCACTGTGTGCCCCCATGAACTCTAACTCTTCAATCTATCTGCATGGAACTATGTGCCCCGCGAATTCCAACGCTTCATCTACTGGTGTGGAACTATGCCCCCCTGTGAACCCTAAGTCTTCTTTTCAATCAATCGGCATGGAACTGTGTGCCCTTGTGGACTCTAACTCTTCTTTTAAATCTACCGGTGTGGAACTATGCCCCACCATGAACTCTAGTTCTTCTTTTCAATCTACCAGTGTGAAACTATGTGCCGCCGTGAACTCTAACCCTGCTTTTCGGTCTACTGCCATGGAACTATGTGCCCCGTGAACCCTAACTCTTCAATGTACCGGCATGGCACTATGTGCCCCCATGAACTCTGAGTCTTCTTTTCAATCTATTGGCATGGAACTATGTGCCCCCATGAACCCTAACTCTTTTCATTCTACCGCTGTGGAACTATGAGCCCTCGTGAACCCTAACTCTTCAGTCTACCGGTGTGGAATTATGCACCCCGGTGTACCCTAACCCTTCTTTCCAATCTACCTGCCTGGAACTATGCGCCCTCATAAACGCCATGTCCTCTTTCCAATCTACCAGCATGGAACTATGTGCCCTTGTGAACTGTACATCTTTTCAATATACCGGTGTGTGACTATGCACCCCCGTGAATTATAACTCTTCCTTTCAATCTACCGGCGTGGAACTACGTGCCCCATGAACTCTAACTCTTCTTTTCAATCTACCAGCATGGAACTATCCGCAGTCCTGCTTGCCAGTGGGCAGAGGCCCAGACATGGCTATAGCAGCCCTGCAGTGCTGCAGTCCAGAAGCTAAGCAGGGTGGGTCCTGGCTGGGCTCAGATGGGAGGCCGCCTGGGGACACAGGAAGGACGCTTTAGCTTTCTGATTCCTTCTGCTGTCCCCGCTTGTCACAGCGCTCTTGATGCTCTGGCTTTGTATTTCTGGTTGTGCTTGCCTGCACCCCCACCAAGAACAGGGACTTTTTCATGGGTGTCCATCTCAGGAGCCCCCCGGTGAGATTCAAGTACCACCTTTGGACATCTGGGCTGCAGACCCTGACCGAACGACGGACGAGTGCACTCGCACCATGACAGTGATTTCTGTAAGCTAGGGATGGCCATTGGCTACTTTCAGAAGGTGAAACGCATCCAACTGACCAAGACCCTCTGTTCATCCACCCTTCGATACAACAGAGGCTCTAAGTTAACATACTTGTGGATAATCAACATGGTTAAAAGAATGGTTTTACGACTGATAAATCTTTCAGTGCCTTCGGTGCCAGGGCCTAAACACTATTAACAGGTAATTTCCCTTTGATCTCCTGGCAGGGCCACTCAGCACAGAATTTACACACGTTAACAGAGTGACAAAGAAATGTGGGGTAAATGGAATTAAATTCAGAAGCTCTTTGATTGTCTCTCTTTCCTATGCTGATGTTAACGAGGCCGCTGCATTCAGCTTGCCTCAGTACAACCTTTTGGCCTTCCGAAAGGTTTGAGATTATAATCTATAATTTTTCCTAATATTTAATGTTTTGTCAGCCACCCAAGTAAACATCAACACTCTGGCACCATAGCAGTTTGAGGGCACCCCAGCCCAGAAGCTAAGCAGGGTCAGACTTGCCTGGAGCTTGGATGGGGGGCCACCTGGGAACAACAAGGGGTGGAGGCTTTTGACTTTCCCCTTCTGCGTTTCCCTGCTTGTCCCAATGCTTCCCAACCGCCCCTGACTCACTGCCCCCCCCCTACATTTTTCTGCCTGCCTTTGCCCCCATGGAAGCCCTGTACATTCTTTGGGGGGTCTGCCCAGCAGCCCTCACACATTACAGCACCCTGAGGGGGCCAAAGCATGGAAGCGAAGAAGGGTCAAGCCTGGCTGGAGCTTGTATGGGTGCTGCCTAGGGACTGGGGACTGCAGGCTTTTAGCTTTTCTTTGCTTGTTGCAACGCTTCCCAACTGCTCCGTTTTCCATCAGCCTGCAAGCCCATGGCAGCCTAGGACCTCCTGGTAAAAATCTGTCCCTGTAGACCCCAGGTGTCATAGCAACCTGAGGGTGCTCCAGCCCGGGAGCTGAGCAGCGTCACACCTGGCTGGGGATTGGATGTGGGACTGACTGGGGGTACAGGGGGACGAAGGCTTTTGGCTTATTGCTCCCTTCCCGATTTCCCCCGATAGTAAGGCTTTCCATACACCCCCAACTCTCTGCCCAGGCCTTTTCCCTGCCTGAGACCCTGCCGTGGCCCAGGACCTCCCTGAGGGGTCTGTCTCTGAAGTCACTGAACGTCATCGCAGCCTGAGGGCACCTCAGCCTGGAAGCTAAGCAGAGCATCAGGCCTTGGTTGGGCTTATATGGGGGACCGCCTGAGCACCTGGAAAGACCGGGGGCTGGAGGCTTCACTTTTTGCCTTCAAGTTTTCCCCTGCGTGTCACAACACTTCCCAACTACCACTCGACTCTCTGTCCCCCCTTTCCTGGCTGTCTACCTCCCCACCGAGACCCGTGTCATCCCTGTGAGGGTTTGTCTCGGCAGCCCCCAGGTGAGGCAGCCTGGAAGTTCAGCAGGATCGGGTCTGGCTGGGTTTTGGATGAGGGACTGCCTGGGGAGACAGGAGCTGGTGGCTTTGGCTTCCCGATTCCTTCCAGTGTCCCCTAGCTGTCAGTGCTTTTCAAGCCCCTCCCAACAGTCTATTTCACGTTCCCACCTGCCTGCACCCCCGCCAAGGACAAGGACATGTCCATGGGTGTCTCTCTCGAGGTGGCTGCCTCCAGCGTGCCTCAATACAATTTTTGGCCTTACAAAAGTTTTGAGATTACAATCTACAACTTTTCCTAATGTTTAATGTTTTGCCACCCACCCCAAGTGAACATCACTGTCTCCCCCTTTTTCTTTTCAACAGCAGCAGGCTTTGCTGCCTTCCGCCCACTGAGTCCTTCAGCCGTGGCTCAGTCAGGTGAGGGGGTCCTTGCTTTTATTCCAGCTTTGCCTTTTAGGATTAACAAATAGCACAAGACAATTATGAGTAGAATTAGCAACAGTCCTTTCCAATCACAGACCGACTCCCAGTGCTTGTCCCGTGTCCCAGTGCTGCTCAACTGAACTGAGACTCACTGGATGCTACTTCTCCACCCAAGAGCACCACCACAGCAGCCGGAGACATACTTGTGGAGGTCTGCCTGATGGCCCTTGGGTGCCATGGCACCCTGAGAGGGCCCCAGCATGGATGCTAAGTAGGGTTGAGCCTGGTGGGGGCTTGGGTGGGGGGTTGCCTTGAAAGATGGGGGGCTGGAGTATCCCCCCCTTTTCACTTTCCCCTGGTTGTCACAACACTTTCTCAATGAACCCCAACTCTCTGGCCAGCTGTTTTCCACCTGCCTGGGCCCCTGCCTTGGCCAGGGACCTCCCTGAAGGGGTTTGTCTTTGAAGTCATGACAAACTTCATTCACAGCCTGAAGGCACCTCAGCTGGGAAGGTAAGCAGGGTCGGGCTTGGCTTGGGCTTGGATGGGGGACAGCCTGGAAACATGGGGGCTGGAGGATTTGGGCATCCGGTTCCCTTTTCAATTTCTCCTGCTTCTCGCAAAGCTTCTCAACCACCCCCTGACATTCTGGCTATCTCTTTCCCACCTGTGCACGCCCGCGTCACTGAAGGCGCCCCAACTGAGAGGTGAAGCAGGGTCGGACCTGGGTGGGGTTTGAATGGCGGGCTGCTTGGGGAGACCAGGGGCTAGAGGCTTTCGGCTTCTGTCTCCCTCCCGGATTTTTTGCTTGTCAAAACGCTTCCAAAAGACTGGCTAACTCTGACCCTACCTTTCCATCCCGCCTACTCCCGCGGTGGCCAGGGACCTCCCAGTGGGGATTCATCGTGGAATCTCCCAGGCACAATATCAGCTTGAGGTCACCCAGAACAGAGCTCAGCAGGGTGGGACTGGCTGGGGCCCTCCTGCTCCCTTCCCACATTCTTCTGCTTGTCACAATGCTTCCCAACTGACCCCTGACTCTCTGGCCCCTTCTTTTTCCTCCTCATGCACCCCCCACTGCAGCCCAGATCTCCACGTGGGGTCCATTTCAGCAGCCAAGGACCACCGAGCAGGGTCAGGCCTTGCTGCTACTTGTATGAAGCACCACCTGGGGAGACTGAGGGCTGGAGGCTGTTGGCTTTAGCTCCCTTTCCACTTTCCCCACTTGCCACAATGCTTCCCAAATGCACTTGTACTTCCTACCCTCACAGCAACTCTGGACCTCCCCGTGGGGCTCTGTCTAGGCAGCCCCAAACACCATAACCGTCTGGCGGGGAAACAGCATAACTCTCTGTGGGGGAACACCGTAACTGTCTGGCGGGGAACACCATAACTGTCTGGGGGGAACACCATAACTGGGGGGGAACAGCATAACTGGGGGGGAAACACCATAACTGTCTGGGGGGAAACACCATAACTGGGGGGGAAAACAGCCTAACTGGGGGGGAAACACCATAACTGTGGGGGGGAACAGCATAACTGGGGGGAAACACCATAACTGTCTGGGGGGAACACCATAACTCTCTGGGGGGGAACACCATAGCTGTCTGGGGGGAAACACCATAACTGGGGGGGAAAACAGCCTAACTGGGGGGGAAACACCATAACTGTCGGGGGAAACACCATAACTGAGAGGGGATTGTTGTGAACGGTTGTGATAAGGGGGGAAAGTGGGTACAGAGCAGAGAGCCAAAACCCTCCAGGCCTGCTCTTTCCACCCAGGCCCCCCATCCAAGCACCAGCCAGCCTCAATCCTGCTTAGCTTCCGGGCTGGGGCACCCTCAGGCTGCTAATAGCAACTTGGGGCTGCCAAAAGGAACCCCCCCCCCAGGAAGTCCCAGCTTGAGGCGGGGGCGCAGGTGGGCAGGAAACGAGAGGCCAGAGGGTCAGAGGGCGGTTGGGAAGAGTTGCCAAAAGGGGGGGAAAGTGGGAAGGCAGCGGGAGGCCAAAAGCCCCAGCCATGTCGTACCCTGCTCGGCTTCCAGGCTCCTGTGCCAACCTGGGTCAGCTGGCATGGACCCCCACAGTCCATGCTGGGGGTGCAAGTGGGCAGGAAACGGTGTCCAGAGAGTCAAGGGGCGGCTGAGGAGTGTTGTGAGAAGGGACAGAAAGCCGGAGAAGAACGGGAAGCCAAAACTCTGCAGCCCTGGTCTCCCATCCAAGCCTCGGCCAGGCTGGACCCTGCTTAGCTTGTGGACCCGGGCACCCTTGGGTGCTGCGGCCCACAGGGTGCCCGGACAAACCCCTGCAAAGAGGTCCCGGGACGCGTGGACGCCCTTGGGGGGAGCTCTGTGCCAACCTGGGTGGGCCTGGCAGGGTCTTGAGTGGGGGCCGCCTCCAAAGCCCGGGGCTGGAGGCTTTGGCCTTTCCACCTTCTTGCCAACACTTCCCGCCCGTTCTCTGGGTCTCTGCCCTCTGCCTCACTGGCCTGCGCCCCTGCCAGGGCCCCAGATTATTCCATGTGTGTTTTTTGGGCAGCTTCCAGGTGCCATAGCAGCCTTTGACAGCCTAGCCCAGAAGCCAAGCAGGGTCAGGCCTGGCTGCGGCTTGGGTGGGGAACTCCCTAGTGAGACGGGTGCCGGAGGATTTTGGCTTCCGCTTGTTCCCCTTCCCAATTTCTCCTGCTTCTTGCAAAGTTTCCTAACCACCCCCTGACACCCTGGCTTTCCCTTTCCCATTTCCACACACACCTGCGCCCCCCTCAGCGATCTGGGAAGTCCCCAAAGGGGTCCGTCTTAGCAGCCGTTGGGAGCAACAGCAGACTGAAGGGGCCCCAGTGTAGAAGCTAAGCAGGGTCGTGCCTTGGGGGGGATTGTATGACGGAATGCTTGGGTAGATTGGGGCTAGAGGCTTTCGGCTCTCTGCTCCCCCCCTGCTTTTTGCTGTCCCAATGCATTCCAACCACCCCTCGTAACCAGAATCATGACCGACAGCATCCCAGCAGGACCACCAGACCGTTTTTTTGTTTGTTTTTGAGATGGAGTCTTGCTCTATTGCCCAGGCTGGAGTGCGTTGGAGTGATCTCGGCTCACCGGAACCTCCTCTTCCTGGGTTCAAACAATTCTGCTTCAGCCTCCTGAGTAGCTGAGATTACAGGCATGCGCCACCTTGCCTGGATAATTTTTTGTATTTTCAGTAGAGACGGAGAGTCCCCAATTTGGCCAGGCTGGTCTCGAACTCCTGGCCTTGTGATCCACCCGCCTCGGCTTCCCAAAGTGCTGGGGTTCCAGGAATCGTGCCTGTATTGTGGTGCAGTTAGCAATGGCAGCTCATCTACGGAGAAACCACATACGTTTTGAGAGACTTAGACCTTCTCACTCTAAATTCTCCGCTGAAGAGCCGGCCATCCTGCTCCAGATGTTTTGATCCAGCTGATCCCAAACAGCACCAGAACAGCGAATCTTCCCTCAGCCTCTTCCCCTGAGACCTTGGGCCAAGTACTCAGTGTAATTCGTGCCTGGTCATCTCAGGGTAAGGCACCCTAGCTCTGGGGGGCTTTCTCTAATAGGCAGGACGCCCCTTTAGAAAAGCGCACCTCAGGGTCCTTCAGCAGATGTGACTGGAGCACTCTTCCTTGGTACGATGCCCCAAGTGGAAATTGCTTCAACCAGCCCCAAGCGGCTTGGTTTCCCAGTGACACAATTGCACAGACCCTGTCTAGTCCCTCAGACTTGACTCTGGGTTGCATTCGAAAACATTGGAGGTCCGGGCACGGTGACCCACGCCTGTAATCCCAGCACTTTGGGAGGCCGAGGTGGGTGGATCACAAGGTCAGCAGATTGAGACCATCCTGGCCAACACGGGGAAACCCTGTCTATTTTTATTTTTATTTTTATTTTTTCAAAGATGGGGTTTCACCGTGATGCCCAGGCTGGTCTTGAACTCCTGACCACGTGATCCGCCCACCTCGGCCTCCCAGGGTGCTGGGATTACAGGCATGAGCCACCTCGCCTGGCCCTGAAGTTCTTTAAGTCCAGGAATTTATGACTGTCTCTCTGGATCCCAGTCTCTGCCAAACCTATCCGATGTGCTTGGCTAAATTCTCTAGCCCCACTGACTCTTCTGACAATAACCCTTTCTTTTTTTTTTTTTTGAGAGACGGAGTTTCGCTCTTGTTACCCAGGCTGGAGTGCAATGGCGCGATCTCGGCTCACCGCAACCTCCGTCTCCTGGGTTCAGGCAATTCTCCTGCCTCAGCCTCCTGAGTAGCTGGGATTACAGGCACGCACCACCATGCCCAGCTGATTTTTTGTATTTTTAGTAGAGACGGGGTTTCACCGTGTTGACCAGGATGGTCTCGATCTCTTGACCTCGTGATCCACCCGCCTCGGCCTCCCAAAGTGCTGGGATGACAGGCGTGAGCCACCGCGCCCGGCCAGTAACCCTTTCTTTACCCTTTCTGTTTTCCCCAAGCAGCTGGACTGGTTGAGGCCACCCTGCACATAACACCTTCATGTTCAACCGTACCTACTCCATGTGTTCCTTGTCATATCAACCTTGGATGTCATTTTCCAGTTCCACCTCCTTTTCAGGGACTTTTGTCCCCTTCAGGTTGGGGGCCACTTATGATCCCACGTTAGGTCCTACTTATGATCCCACGTTAGGTCCACACAAGGCCCTGCTGCTCTGAGAAATGGCAAAGGTGCATCTTTACCACCTGTTGTGCTCATGAGGAAAAGTCCTGCCTTTGGTCTGTAGCTCAGTGATGGGCAGATGAGGTTCATGCCTGGAACCCTCAGGGGTCTGGCCTGGGGAGAACGGGAGCTCCTAATGCTGATCCTAGATGGGGCTACAGAGAGGGAAACACTAGCAGGGAATGCTGTAATCATAAATTACTTGTTTAATTGAAGGCACGAAGAAGGCTGTCATAAAACCAGTCACCTATGCCAAACTAAGAGACGTAATACAGGGGCCAAATGAAAACCCAGCTCTATTTTACTCCAGGTTGGCTGGAGCTGTGAGAAAATATACTAATATGGACCCCCAGAACCGAGAAGTCCTCGGTATTCTGACTGTCCATTTTATTAGCCGGGCTTCTCCAGATATTAGACACAAACTCCAAACACTAGACCAAGAACCACAAATTCCATTCCCCACTTGGCTGGACACGGCCTTCAAGGTCTTTAACAAAGAGGAAAAATTGCAGCGTGAATGAGACAGAAAAGATGAAGAAAGAGATAAGTGGCAGGTTCACCACACGGCTGCTGCCATTGCAGATTCTCTGCGCATCCCAAGGGCCCCAGGTCAGCCATCAGGGTGGAGCCTAACAGCCACTAAGGAGCCCACTATGTGCTATCGCTACAATCAGCCGGGCAAATGAGCTGGAAATGCCCACAGCTTCCCCAACCACATTCTGGTTCTTAGTGACCCTGTCCTCACTGGAAACAAGCAGGACACTGGAAACAGGACTGCCCCTCTCTCCTTTGTGCGGAGGGTCATCACACAACCAGCAACCCCGGTGTGTGAGCGAGTTTGGGAGAATGGCAACCACAAATGCCCCTAACTCTGTTCTTTGACTCTGAGAAACTTAGGGAACTCAGAAGGCAGAAAGAGATGACTGGTGGGGTCCAGAAGGCATCCAGGCCATCCAGTAACCCTAACTCTGGCAGGGAATAAGATTGAGTTTTTAATTTACACAGGAGCTACTTATCTAGCCCTAAGTAGTTTTTTAGGTCCTACCTTTTGGTCCTCAATCCTCCTTGCCAGCATATAGGCCAGGCCAGGCCAGGCCACAGCAGGGATGCTTCACCTCCCTCAACTTTTTTTTTTTTTGAGGTAGAGTTCTGCTCTTTTGCCCAGGCTGGAGTGCAGTGGTGCAATCTCGGCTCACTGCAACCTCTGCCTCCTGGGTTCAAGTGATTCTCCTGCCTCAGCCTTGCGAGTAGCTGAGACTACAGTCACCCAGCTAATTTCTGCATTTTTAGCAGAAATGGGTTTCGCCATGTTGGCCAGGCTGGTCTCAAACTCCTGACCTCAGACTCACAGACTGCCTCTGTGACCTCAAATCTCCTATTACATTTGTTAGTCACAACCCCCGCAAGCCCGGTCTTGATGGTCACTTAGAATCAAAATCTACAAGCTGCTGTCGAACTTCAAGTGTTCTGCCTGCCTCGCCCTCCCAAAGTGCTGGGATTATAAGTGTGAGCCACCACGCCTGGCCACTTCCCCCTTAGTGTGCACCCTGGGGAAAAATGTTTTCACGCACTCTTTCCTGGTCCTAACAAGCTGCCCTATCCCCTTACTTGGAAGGGACATAATGATAAAACTCCAAAGAAGTGTTCTTTTTTTTTTTTTAATTTTTTTTTGAGATGGAGTCTTGCTCTGTCCCCCAGGCTGGAGTACAGTGGCATGATTTCGGCTCATTGCAACCTCCACCTCCTGGGTTTAAGCAATTCTCCTGCCTCAGCCTCCCGCGTAGCTGGGATGACAGGTGCCCTCCACCACATCTGGCTAATTTTTGTATTTTTAGTAGAGGTGGGGTTTCACCATGTTGGCCAGGCGGGTCTTGAATTCCTGACCTCAGGTGATCTGCCTTCTTCAGCCTCCAAAGTCCTAGGATTACAGACGTGAGCCACCACCCCCAGCGAAACTCTGATTTTTCAATATCTGCAATGTTACTTCCAACCTCGCGTGCTTAGCCAGTCCTTATGCATGCACAGGCCTCATAACACAACCTTCTTGAGCAACCGCAAAGGCTTCTTCATGGGGCTCCCCTTTTAAGGACAGCCCAGTGTCTCTGACCCATGGGTTTTAGGCACAACTTGGCAGCCAGAAGGTGATCACAGTACAGTCTTCAACATCGCATCCGATAATACTGTTTATACTTGGGCCCCTTGCTGATACGTCTTTTCTTCAGACAAACCACATAACCAGCCCTAGACCCTCTCAGACCTATGAACCTAGCTTTCATCAAATATGCATTGGCCGGGCGCGGTGGCTCACGCCTGTCATCCCAGCACTTTGGGAGGCCAAGGTGGGAGGATCACGAGGTCAAGAGATCGAGACCATCCTGGCCAACACGATGAAACCCTGTCTCTACTAACAATACAAAAATCAGCTCGGTGTGGAGGCGCATGCCCGTAGTCCCAGCTACTCGGGAAGCTGAGGCAGGAAAATTGCTTGAACCCTGGAGGCAGAGGTTGCAGTGAGCTGAGATCGTATCACTGCACTCCAGCCTGGCAACAGAGGGAGACTGTCTCAAAAAAAAAGCACCACATATCTCACTTTTTTAGATTTGTCATAGTTGTTTTGTCAGAGGGAAATGTGGAGCCCCAAGGAGTTACAAGAAAATTGGAAAATAGGCCGGGCGCAGTGGCTCACTCCTGTCATCCCAGCACTTTGGGAGGCCGAGGTGGGCGGATCACCTGAGGTCGGGAGTTTGAGATCAGCCTGACCAAATTGGAGAAACCCCATCTCTACTAAAAATACAGAATTAGCCGGGCATGATGGCGCTTGCCTATAATCTCCAGCTGCTCGGGAGGCTGAGGTTGTGGTGAGCTGAGATCACGCCATTGCATTCCAGCCTGGGCAACAAGAGTGAAACTCCATCTCAAAAAAAAAGAAAAAGAAAAAGAAGAGAAAGTTGGCAGGAACAGAAACAGAAGTAAAGATGTTCAGAGAAACGGTGTCTACCACAAATGGCTCACTAGTGACCAAGCACCCTATTACCAGCACTCAGCTCACGGCCCGGCTGCACCAGGAATCCCGTTTGCCGGTATTCACCCAAGCAGCACGCCCTGTAAAACCTCCCTCCAGACCTTGCCTTTTGGCAGAAAGGTCTTCCTCTTCTGTGTTGCCCGCTGCTCCCTTCCAACGTATATCCCCTTTTTCTCTAATAAATCTGCCTTTCTGAACTCATTCCTGTCTTGGTAAATTCTTTACCACCTGGGTGCCAGCCTCAGGCAGTTGTTGACCAGAGCAATTCCTATATCCCCCCGTTGCCGGTAGAAGAGACTAAAGTCCCTCAGCAGACCTCTCGTTCTGATAGGCCAAAACCAAGTGACACGGGCCTCTAGCTACATGGAAGGCTGGGAAGTGAGCGTGCAGTGTTCCTCACAGCAGAGAAAGAAGGGGCTGGGCATGCTGCTGGGACAGTGGTCAGCAGGTTAGGGTTAGGGTTAGGGTTAGGGGTTAGGGTCAGGGTTAGGGTTAGGGTTAGGGTTAGGGTCAGGGTCAGGGTCAGGGTCAGGGTCAGGGTCAGGGTCAGGGTTAGGGTTAGGGTTGGGCTTAGGGTTAGGGTTAGGGTTAGGGTTAGGGTTAGGGTTAGGGGTTAGGGGTTAGGGTTAGGGTTAGGGGTTAGGGTTAGGGGTTAGGG